CCAATGACCTTCTTCACAGAACTGGAAAAAACCACTTCAAACTTCATATGGAACCAAAAGAGAGCCGGCATAGCCAAAACAATCGTGAGCAAAAGGAACAAAGCTGGAGGCATCATGCTGCCTGACTTCAAACTATGCTACAAGGCCATAGTAATCAAAACAGCATGGTACTGGTACCAAAACAGAGACATAAACCAATGGAACAGAACATTACAGAGGCCTCAGAAGCAACACCACACATCTACAATCATCTGATCTTTGACAAACCTGAGAAAAACAAGCAATGAGGAAAGGATTCCCTGTTTAATAAATGGTGTTGGGAAAACTGGCTAGGAATGTGCAGAAAGCAGAAACTGGACCCCTTCCTAACACCTTACACTAAAGTTAGCTCCAGATGGATTAAAGATCTAAACATAAGACTTAACACCATAAAAACCCTAGAAGAAAACCTAGGCAAAACCATTCAGGACATAGGCATAGGCAAGGACTTCATGGCTAAAACACCAAAAGCAATGGCAACAAAAGCTAAAACAGACAAATGGGATCTAATTAAACTCCAGAGCTTCTGCACAGCAAAAGAAACAATCATTAGAGGAACTGGCAACCAACAGAATGGGAAAAAATTTTTGCAATCTACCCATCTGACAAAGGGCTGATATCCAGAATCTACAAAGAACTAAAATAGATTTACAAGAAAAAAGAACAAAAAAACCCCATTCAAAAGTGGGTGAAGGATATGAAGAGACACTTTACAAAAGAAGACGTCTTTTAGGGAGGCTGAGGCAGGATAATTGCTTGAGCCCAGGAAACGAAGGTTGCAGTAAGCCAAGATCATGCCACTGCACTCCAGCCTGGCCAACAGAATGAGACTCTGTCAATCAATATCTGTAGGATACTGATGGGTTCTTTGAAAAGACGATGCCGGGCCAGGCGCGGTGGCTCAAGCCTGTAATCCCAGCACTTTGGGAGGCCGAGGCGGGTGGATCACGAGGTCAAGAGATCGAGACCATCCTGGTCAACATGGTGAAACCCCGTCTCTACTAAAAATACAAAAAATTAGCTGGGCATGGTGGCACGTGCCTGTAATCCCAGCTACTCAGGAGGCTGAGGCAGGAGAATTGCCTGAACCCAGGAGACGGAGGTTGCGGTGAGCCGAGATTGCGCCATTGCACTCCAGCCTGGGTAACAAGAGCAAGACTCCGTCTCAAAAAAAAAAAAGAAAAGAGGATGCCATAGTGAAATAGTTTAGCAAACCCTTAACTAAACATGTATCTTTACTGTAGGAATTTTCCAATTCCATCAAGAGACAAATGTCTATTCTCTACATAGTAATAATGCCTCTTAAATGCATTTGACCACTGAACACTATTTTTCCTTGCAGCAGATCAAGAAATTGATATTTAGACATTTTGGGAAATACTGGTTTAGCTACCTCAAATGCAGGAAATGAGATCGTTTATAACCACGTTTGCTTTTTTTTTTTTTTTTCAACTTTAAAAGGTATATTTAGTTATAGCAAAGACAAAGGAATACTGAATTCATGGTTTTGTTCTGTTTTGAAAAAATACTGAGAAGATTTCACTAGCAAATTAACTCTTATAGTAAAAAACATTATTGATTAAAAGCCAAGTGATTGGAATTTTTCCTGATTCCATCACTATGACTTTGGGCAAAGTGACATAGCATCTGTCAGCCCCATTTTCCAGCTCTGTAAAATGAATTGGCCATATTAGGACTCTCAAAACTAAGCATTGTAATAATTTAGATGAATACGTTTCTAAGATCGTGGAGCTAAATTCTACCTAATTTTCTGAATGTCCCTGACAAACTGAGTCTAGATAAGTTAATTTAGTCCATCAGCCACCTCACAAATACTGATTAATTTCTATTTACTTGATGCTTTTCCTCTGCTGTGGCACTTCCATGTACCTGTGTTCCTATTGGGCTGATGGGATCAGGAGGTGGGAGAGATGACTTAGGAAACAAGTAGACAGATATGTGAACAAAGTGATTTTTTTTTTTTTTTGAGTCGGAGTGTCACTGTGTCACCCATGCTGGTGTGCAGTGGCACTATCTCAGCTCATTGCAACCTCCGCCTCCCAGAAATTATTCTCCTGACTCAGCTTCCCGAGTAGCTGGGATTATAGTCACCTACCACCATACCCAGCTAAATTTTGTATTTTTAGTAGAGATGAGGTTTCACCATGTTGGCCAGGCTAATCTCGAACTCCTGACTTCAAGTGATCCACACGCCTCAGCCTCCCCAACGGATGGGATTACAGGCATGAGCCACCACGCCCGGCCTGAACAAGATGATTTCTGATAGTGACAACTAGTTTGGAGAAAAAAATGAAAAATGATAAGATAGGGATAGGAAATACTTTATGATATGCTGCACTCTAGATTTAGAGCTAAATGCATCCACTCAAGAGTTTTAATCATCTTTAATAGTATACTAGAACTGTTTCAAAATTTGTGAAGTATATTTTTTGTCTTAAAGATAAAAAACAAAAATTCTTTTATGAACAGATAAATGTAAATGTATAGCACTTAGAAGTTTATACTCAGAAATGCTTTTATTAAATAATTTATTGTTTTAAAAAGAAGGAATAGAAATACCTTAAATCTGTAAATAATTCTAAGATTTTCAAATAGTAAAATACCAAGATGATCAAGTTAGATTGGGGAATATTTTGATATCTTACAAGACTGGGAAGAATAATGCCAGGTGACTTTCAGTATGGCAAGTGAAAAATAAAGATTTGGAAAATATTCCAAATTGCTTGTTAAAATTCATTAACTAGCTTTTAGAGCAATTTTAGGATTACAGAAAAATTGCACATAGAGTTTCCGTATTTCTTACCCAATACACACATACACTTTCCCATTATTAATACATCTTGCATTTGTGTGTTACATTTGTTATGCATTTGTTGTAACTGGTGAAGCAATATTGACACATTTTATATCTATCTGTATATATATATATATATATATATAT